GATTAAAAAAAATCCTAACTATAGTCCACATGTCTGGGTTAGGTCATGCTTTTTGTCCACTTACCAACTAAGGGATCTTGAGCAAATCACTTGACCTGTTGATCCTCAGTTTCCTTATTTATCGAACAGAAAACTTATTTCCATTACCTGATTGCTGTGAGAAGTTAGTGACATAGTATAAACTAGGGGCTTAGCCCAATTCCTAGCTCATATCTGCCATCAGTAAACTAATTAGGCCAACATTTAAGAGATTCACTGTGTTCTACTCCCTGTACTAGACATTAAAGATAAAATAATGAGCAAGGACAATCATAGTGACTTTAACCAAATAATCAAACAAACAAATGTGAAACTTCAGCTGTTTTGTAAAAGAGAGGGAATTCATGCTGCAATTTATAATAAGAGGAGAGATTGACCAAATCAAAGAGATCAGGGAAAGCCTCCCTGAGGAAGGGAACGTGCGAATACTGAGTCAAGATCTAAATGATGAGGAGATATTTATGAAGCAAAAACAAAAGGGTAGAGCAAAGAGGTACAAGCAGAGGCAGAATGCAAATGCTCTGAGATGGGAGAGAATTATGAGGAAGAAAAGAAGCTTCCTGCCTCTGGAGAAATAGGAGCATGCTACGAATTGACAGTCAGGCAGGAACCAGATTGTGGAAGTACCGAAGGCTTTGCTATGCTGCCTACTTCTTTATCATAAGAGCAATGGCGAGCCACCAATGAATTTTCAGTAGAGGAAGTTACATGATCAAGGGTGATTTTTATCCTTGTCCTTTTTCCCCCTCCCTCAGTCACCTGAAGACAAATGTGGATGGCATCCCTCTGGTCTGGCTTGCTCAGTCAGTATCAGTGTTAGTTTGAAGGATACTGAAAACAACGTGTGTGTCTAAAGAGGATAGCTGCAAAGTGGTGAATGAACAAGAGATGTTTCACATGCACAAGATAAGACTTACAAGATTTGTTTACTAAATTAGACCTGCCTCTTAAGAATAAAAATGATAAAGTCCTCCTCCCCAAAAAGCTTTCCGAAATTAGATTAATCAAAAATAGCATGATGGACAAACTAGCATTGAACATATGCAAGTAAAGACTAAATAATCATGGAATAACTTTCTACTCAGGGTGTTAAATGTTGAACTCCCTGAACTGTATAACGGGAATGAACTTAATATTTCCATGAGAAAACATCCCCCATGCCTCCTGGGACATAATCCTGTCTCAAGTTTACTTTTAAGTAGCTCTCTAGTTTTCTTCTGCTAGGGACTGAAACGTGGCCTGTGTCTCCTCTCAAGAGCCAGCCTTAAGAAGAGATTTCAGTTTTTCTGACCCATCTGACCTCCTGAGAAGCTTACCTAAAATCTTTTATTTGCATACTAGCCTTTTCTAATCTCTTGGATAGCTGCTTTTATATTCTCTTGATTTAATTTCAAGTATTGTACAACAAACTGTAATGCAGCAGTATGAGGACAACAAAAGATACAGTTATGGGTGAGAAAGTCAGTGATGATATTAATGTAGCTAGAGCCATAGAATGGTGGAGTTGGGAGGGGGAGACAGAGAGAACTGAGAGAGAAGAGAGAGGAAGGAAGGAGGTAGGAAGAGAAGAGAGTGACAGGGCGTTTTAGGAAATGAATACAGCATGTACAGTTGAGTTGAATGAAAAGAAATTGAGCTGGATTTCTGATAGGTCCCTGGCATGATTTCTTTAAACCTGGTCCAACTTATCAGACCATTCCTTCCTATTGATCTCACAAAATTAGTATGGTTAGATCATTGTTTCCCAGGCTTTAGTAATTGGCATACCATCTTGATGATTTTTGTCATATCCATCTTCCTGTAGTACTAGTTATTATTTACTTAATGTTATACATTAAAGTGAATTTAAATTGACACTAAAAGACATTTTAGGGGAGGATATGGGGGTATGTCTGTTAAAGGGTACAAGGTTTCAGTTAGGATGTGTAAACTTTGAAGATTTGTTTAACAGCATGGTGACTATAGTTAATAATAATGTACTGTATACAGTTGACCCTTGAACAACACGGATTGGAACTGTGTAGGTCCACTTATACCCAAATAGGCAGGGCCTACTTTTTATATCCGTGGGTTCTGCAAGGCTGGCTGTGGGACTTTAGTGTACGTGGATTTTGGTATACGTCGAAGGCGCTGTAACCATTCCCTGCATATTCCAAGGGACAACTACACTTGAAAATTACCAAGATTAGGTCTTAAATTATCTCACCCTCCAAAAATGATAATTATGAGAGGTAATGGATATGTTAATTAACTTGTTTAAAAATTTCACAATGTATACATATATCAAAACATCACATTGTACATGGTAAATATATATAATTTTTATTCATCAAATATACCTTAATACAGTTGGGGAAAAAATAAAATACTTGACTTCAAAAAAAATCATTAAAAAAAGAAAATAAATGTTTGCCAGGCCTCAGATATCCAAATTAAGCAACTCTTTTTGATATTTCATATATTTATACTAATTCTGAATAAAAGCATTTAATATACAAAAAAATTTTAAGCAAGTATCAAGTTGGAATTATGTTTGATGTGCTATTTATACACGTTTTTTAAATATACATTTTAGTATCTTTGTACTTGATAAACAAAATGTTCATCTGTGTACCACCTAACATAATCTTGGGAATTTTTATGCTTATGGATGCCACACTGTTTAACCCTTGATTTGAGGCAAGGTTTTAGAGCCTGCCCTAGAATCTGAAATACAACCAACCTTCCTCAATATTATTTCCCTTTCCATTAGACCATAATGATAAATTTCAGAAACACAGCTCTTTGTGCACAATATACATGCAGATGTTTGCAAGATCCTGGCAAAGCAAAATTACACCTAAGGGCTGGTTGTGTTAAGATTGAAATTACCAGGGAGGAGTCAGCAGTCAAATGATTTCCCAATACTGTCGTATTTGCTGCTGTTTTTAGCCTTCTTTCTACCTCTATTGAAAATGGTTTGCAGCACCTTTGTGATTGAATGTAAAAACAATTATTTAATACTTTCAACTTTTCTTGTGGTCCTTTCTTTAAATATTTATTTTTGTTGACGATGGAGGAGGAGGTCGTCTTCTAGTTGGGGAACCCTGAAGCTACTCTGGAGTGAAGCAGTCGATGAAGGATGTACAGTGACATACTGAGTCCGTACTTCACTCTTGTTCTCCCCCAACTTGTTTACTACTCAGTGTAGTTGACAGAATGTAGGCCCCCAAAGACATTCATGTCTTAAATCCTGGAGTCTATGAATATGTTTTGTTACATGGCAGTTAAATGGCAAAGAGGAATTACGGCTACAGATAGATTAAGTTTATTAATCAATTAACAGTAAAATAGGGAGATTATCCTGGATTATCTGGGTGGGACCAATGTAATTACAAAGGTCCTTTGAAGTGGAAGAGGGAGGCAGGAAGGAAGATGAGAATGGTTTGACCTCAGGACTCAACACACCACTACTGGCTTTGAAGATGAAGGAAGCTATGAGTCAAGGAATCAGGACAGCCCTTGAAGCTGGAAGGCAAGGATTCTGCCTAGAGCCTGCAGAAAAGAATGCAGCCTTGATTGTAGCCCAATGGGAGCCATTTTGAAATTTTTATCTCCAATTCTAAGATAAGTTTGTGTTGTTTTAAGCCACTAAATTTGTGTTAATTTGTTATAGCAGCAATAGAAAACAAACAAACAAAAAAACCTAACAGGGTGAGCTTCAAAATCTATTTATCTTCTCCTCTCATGGTTATAGATTTGGTATATTCACATTTAACACAGGCACCTGAACTAATCAAGGCAAATTTGAAATCCTACTCTTTTATTAAAATAAATTCCTAAATTCACATATTATTCTTGCTCCCAAAGATTATTGATGCTAATATCTAGTTACCATTTTAAGAAATTAATAAAATGCTTTCTGATGTTCTCCAGTTATAAGAACAAATAAAGGAGCATTTTGGGGAATCAATAAAATATTTTATTTAAGTATTTTTTAAAGCCCATAGATTTAAATCAGAGCTCTGCTATTTACTAGCTATGGTAGTCCGGGAAAATTAAACTCTCTAAGCCTGTGTATCATCATCCACAAAATGGGAATAAAAATAATAGGACCTATATAGTAGGTTTGTGGAAACGATTTTATGACATAATTTATATGAAGTTCTTAGCATGGCATCTGGTACATAAATAAGTGCATCACATAATGGTGTTAGCTGTTATTATTGTTCCATTATCTTTCCCATTTCAAAAATTTCTCCAACAAAAAAGTACTGCTTTCAAAACCCTTGCTGTGTTGGCAACCTGAAAGTTTAATAATCTATAGCTTCTTTTTCAATCTTAATTTCTAAAGACATAGCAGTAAGCCATTCTGAAAACAGCATCTCCCTTACCAATGCTTAACCTTGAGTCAACAATTCTTTTAATTATCAAATATTCATTCACTGAAGTAATTGTTTAAAAAAATAGAGGGGGTAAAACAATGGCCTAACTATAGATCTCCATTAAACTTTACTTCCCCAAGGTGGTGCGGGGTGAATTCTTTGCTCAGAAGCAAGAGCACCGCACTCCGCACCAACTCCACATCCAAGAGGGAGGTCCAGGCCCTCTCCAGTGCGCGAGGTATTCTGTCTGGCTCCGGGCGGTGCCAGGTGAGCCCTGGCGGAGCCGGGAGACCGAGCTGGGACTCGCTGCGCCCAGCGCGCTGCCCCGGTAGCGGCTGCGGGTTGCTAAGCTTCGCCCTCCGCGTCCCCGCGCCTTCGGGGCCGCCCGCCGGTGCGCGCCCGGTGGCCCCAGGCGAGAGGAAGCGCTTGGTCTAATCCGTCCAACTTCTGGGACATTTGCCGTGCTCTGGCAGCCCTTCCGAGTCTCCCCCCGCGCCCTTGCCGGCATCTCGCCTACCCGGGGCTCCGGAAGGATAGGAGGCGTGTCCTCAGCGGGCGGGAGGGAGCTATATAAAAGCGCCGGCGGCGCGGCTGCCGGGGCTTCACTCGCCGCCTCGCGCCGGGACCGGGAACGCTGCGGAAAGCACGGGCAGTGGAGAGGGCGCTGCGCGCGGGCTACCCAATGCATGGACTATCTGCCGCCGCTGCTCGTGCAATATGCTGGAGCTCCAGAACAGCTAAACGGAGTCGCCACACCACTGCCTGGGCTGGATCGCAGCGCTGCCTTTCCTTATGAAGAAGACACAAGTGAGTAGGACACGCTTGGGAGCTCGCAGCTCTCCAAGGATATCGCGCTTGGAGCCCCGCGGAGGCCGGCGCGCCCGGGACCGGCAGCCGGGGCGTGCGGGGCTGTGCCTGTCGGGCGAGCCAAGAGGGTGCGGGGGAGGCAGGCGTCGTGTGCGAGCCGGAGCCGTGCGGCCGGGTGAGCCAGGGAGAAAAGGAGTGGGAGTGAAGAGAGGGAGCCCGTGTCAAGTTTGGAGCCGCAGCAGTTAAGATTGGAGCTGTCAGTCGAAAACCGCATTTCCCGTCTGCTGGAAGGATCGACTTTTTGGCTGGACAGTTTAAGTTATCCCGGGAAGGCATGTCTTTGCACAGGAGACGTTTTCCCGTCAATTCCGGGACATTATGAAACAGCTCCCCACGCACCACCCTAGCTCACTCTCGCGCTCAGATTTATCTGTGCAGCCCCGAGGTGGGCGCGGGGCGCGGTGCGGGTGCAGCGCGGGAGCGAAGCCAACTGGAGCCCCTAAGCGGCAGCGCTCTCCGCCCGGCCCGCCCGGGAAACTTGGCTCCCACAGTGTTTGCCTAGTCTGTGGCTCTGGGTGGGTTCTCCCACAGCTCTCGATACCTCCACGGTGCATGCACAGTGCATGCTCCTTCTTTCACTATAAAAGAGAAAAAGGTTTTTTTTTTTTTTAAATGGGCCCCTCTAATGATAGTTATTGAGATAATTCCCAGTGCTGCTAAATTGTGCATTATACATAAAGCACTGTGGGTAAAGCACCGCCCAGGGGTACAATTAGATTTTTTTCGCCCTTGAAACAAATATCTGGTTCTTCGTTTGGAAAGGGCCGCCACGGTGACCCCATCCACAGTTTGTGTTTTTTTTTTTTTTTTTTCCCACCACTGGAGGTTCTTACCTCTTCTCACTTCTCCCCTTAGGAATTGTTCTGTGTTATCTGCCTCAAGTTGAGTAAGGCTGCCCTTTCACCCCCCAGAGGTTCTATCGGAGATTGCAATTCCTGACATGTATTGAAGGGGTGGGGGTAAAGGAAAATAGGGGGTTTTGGAATGAAAGCATCAATGTGCTGAAAATGCTTTATTAAGTGATCTGCTTAGCATCATATTTTAAATAGATATCTAGGCCTGGAAATGTACACAGTAGGAAGAAAATATTCTAGCCCCTTGCACCTGTGTGGAAAAAGGCTGGAGGAAGGGACATTTCCTGGCTGAAAGGTTTGTGTAGTTTCTAGAGCACTCTGTAAGAGAAAAGGAGTGCCTATCTCCTCGCTTGCAAGCAGGTTAGCTTTTAGGAAAAGCACTAAACACCACACCTGGGATCACCACAGTGTGCTTGCTGTTGAAATGCAGATGCTAGATTCTTGCAACAAAGGAAAATTTTTTATTGTAATACCTTCATTTGTACAAGCTTTGTGCTTTGTGGAATAGTAAGCAGGGGTCGGGAAATTTCCTTTTTTATAGTAGCATCTACTCATGTGAATGGTAGTGGTGAGGTCTGGGTGGAGAAACCACTACCTTCTAGTTCAGGAAAAGAGCCTAACCTTTCTATTTAAACAAGAACACAGGAGACAGATCAGGTTAATGTCCAACACTCCAAAGCGGGGCGATGTACTATCAAGTCACTTTGAGAATGAGTAGGATTGATGATCCTTGCACCCTTGCTTTGCAAAACAAATGTGAGCTCTGTAATCTGCTTTCTCGCTTTGATTAAATGGCTGTGTAAATCGGATTACATGGAATAATTCCATTGAAAACTAGAAAGAGGTCAATCTAGCCTGAAACATTGTGGCTGTGGCATTGGTGACTCAATGCTGCCGACCAGAGACATTTGAGACAGCTAAGTATTTTAGAAATGTGACCTGTTCAGACCAAGTTAAAGTGCAGGCCCTTTGGGGGAACTTGCTGATGTTAAGGGGCTTGCAGGCAAAGGAGGGCAGTGCCTTTGTTGAATGAAGGCATTCATTCCTTGGATCTAATGACCTTCAAGGTTTCCCTTAAGGATACTTCTAGCAATCCCACATTCCTGTCACTGAAAAAGGGGACACTGGAAATAGCACAGAGTCAATCAAATAATCTGTGGAAATGGAGGAGGGGATTAGATCCTCTTTCATGTTGTCAAAGTTTCTAATCCAAAAGTTACAAAGAAATTTTCATGCCACGCTTCATGGATGCAGAGTAGCATAAGTAAATTGTACACTAAGAAGTAGGATCAATTGTTGTTCTGAATCTCAAGTTATCCTTGTGAGGGAGGAATATCTATTAACATTCAGTAGTTTGAATAGTGGTTTATAAACATGGCATCAATACCAGAGTTCTATTATAAGGCAGCTGGTTCTGTAGTCTGCCAATACCCAATATATAAAAAGAGAATTGAATAATATTTTTTAAAGAACTTTAATTTGAACTGCATAGCTCTCTAAGAATCCTAAGGACACTAGGCATTCTGGCCTGTCAGTCAAGCTAAATAAGTGTGAAAATTCCATCAACAGCTACTTGGGGTTTGATGAATGATTCTTTCATTTGTTTAGCACCAGTGATGAACTTCAGTATTGGGAAAATTAAATAAGCAATAGTCACGAGGAGCAATTGTGATAATAAATTTAATCACAAGTCTATAGGAATGAATGTGTTTTGCATTTTTAAGATTTGTTTGATTGTATTTTATCCATATTGTGTGATTTTATAATTTCTGAAGGGAATTGTGGCTCTGGCTTAGAAAGACCATCTCTTTCAATATATAATGATTTTTTAAACAATACTCCAATATACTGGTTTATTAAATAACAATTGGGGTGCCACATCTTGCAACACTGATTAAGATTTGGTTAAAAGTGCCAGGTGTCACGTTTATCGATGTTATGCATACATTTTAGTTTGGGGATGGTTTGTGAGAGTTCTCATGACTGCTGTCAGTTTCAGAAATACTGAGATAGGAAAAATTCATCTTACAAACAATGCAGAAAAGGCCATTTTAGGCACATTAGCTCTCAGAGAAGAAGCAAATAGAATGTTAGCTTGTGCTACTCCAAAGAAAATATCCATTTTTTGTCTGTATGAAGTTTGTCATGGGGTGACGATGCAAGTTTACTTTATAGAAAAAAAAAGTAACATATTTATGAAAAGAGCATTTTTGAATCCTGTTTTTAAGATCACTCAGTATGGAATGTGTGCTTTGAATAATTCTAATTTATGTAGCTTTTAATTGATACATTTTGCCAAGACTTTAAAACCCAAGTGCTAAGTCAATTACATTTAACATAAAACAAGGAAAATAACCATATGGAAATCTGAAAGTCTGGGCCAAACCAATTAAAATTGCTAAATTTTATTTATGTCTAACTGCTGATTTGAGATAACAAATTGTGAGTAGCATTTGTATTTTAATAATAGGTGATTGAAATCTTCCCATCATCATAAATCACATTAAAAAAAAAAAAAATCCTTGCCCAAATAGCAAGTTTGAGTATTGGAGGTGTCTTGCATGGATTAGTGAATTTCACTGGCTGTGCTCTTCCCTTTCCATGTCTGAGGAACACCTAAAATATGGTTAATGGAAGGATTCTAGGCTCTAGTCTCCAAAGACCTAGATTTTAATTCCTGTTTTACCACCTGTGAGACAAATGACTTTAGGCAAATGGTTAAACTTCTTGAAATTTCCGGTTTAAAATCTTTATGATGATTATAAATTAGTTATAAAGATTTTTCTCACATGGTGGTTGTATGGACTAAATGAGATTTTATATATGTCTTTATACTGGCATGGAGGCTTACTGTAGTTACAGTGTGAATTTACTGTTCCTGAGAAGAGAGTGCCTCTGGCTAACTTTTATAAGCCAGAGTAAAACTGGCCATTGCAGGTAAATGCTGCTTAAGGAGCAAAGCACAGAGACCAAGTTTGCCTGAATCTAGACCCACTGATTCAGTGACTCCCATTATAGTCTGATATCTCTTTATAGACCGTAATTAACACACATCGAACCAGGTATGTGTGAAAACCAAGGTGATATGTGGGCATAAGAGATGTCAAGTTCTTTAAGGTTTTTCTTTAAAAGCAAAAATGAATGAGAGAATTAGAATAGAAAACAGAAAGAAAAATGGAAATATTATCACTGTCACTGATTCTGTTTCATATTTTCACACTCTTGCTTTCGAAATTCTAACGGTTTATTTTATTTCATCTTATTTTAGACTAAAGAGTCTTGGTCAGCTTCCTATCCCTGGTGTTCTTGCATTTGCTCTTCTGAGTGAGGCCACGCATTCATTTCTGCAGGGTGTCTTTGTTGTCTTTACCAGGCAACATGCAGTGACATTTTTTTTCATTATGTAAGTTTGAGACTTTTTTTTTTCTTTTTTGGATTATCTTAATGTTCCTTTTCGTAAATTAGGGTAAAGCATTTGGATATAAATCTCTGAGGAGTGATCTTTTATCTTTCTTTTCTAGCACTTGGATCATGAGCAGCTGCAGGAGACTCTGTTCTTGGTCTTAGTCACGTGTGTAGTCAGAACAATTTATAAAACAAATTGAGGGAACACCAAGATACTTTTATAATATATGCTGCTTTCAGAGTTGTTTTGTATAGACTTTGTTTCATAGAAACCATTGACTGTAGCCTTACTGATTTATAGATGCAGCAAGATATGTTTGCCTTTTCACTTAATTATGGGCATACTAAAAACTGTTTACAGGGGCTGGAGTTTGAGAGAATTGTTATTATCCCATCTCTACCTATTTCTTTCTCTACAGAAAAAAAAAAAAGATGTGGGGGAATGATGTTCTTATAATTAGGGCTCACGGTTCTTTATGAAAAATCACAATATGTGTCATCTAAAGAAAGACTGTTGGTTATGTAGCTCTCTTTGTCCTTTGGCTACATTTTACTATTTTTCTAGGCTGGCATGTTGGCTCTTTTATTAACCTGGATATTAAGTTATATGATTTGGGGAAGTTATTTGAACTTCTTCCAATCTCAGTTTGCTAAATTGTAAAATGACAAAGTAGGACTAGG